CGGGGGTGAGAAAGGCGGGAAAAGCTGAGGGGAGAGGCGCGAAGGTGTGAGGGGGGGTGTGGAATTTCATTGAATTTCACCTGTTTTTTCTTTATATTCCTCCTCCGTTTCATAGTTGCCAGCGGGAGGATGTAGGGGCAACAGGTACAAGTTGGAACATGAGAGGTTCTGCTCAAATCTGAGGGAAAAAAACTTCTTCAGGGTGAGGCTGCCCAGGGAGGGTGTCCAGTTTTGGGCTCCGTACCATAAAAAAAGACATTTTGGTGCTGGAGTGGGTCCAGAGAAGAGCAACAAAGATGGTGAGGGGTGTGGAGGACAAGTCTTGTGAGGAGAGGCTGAGGGAGCTGTGGGTTCTTCAGCCTGGAGAAGAGGAGGCTGAGGGGAGACCTTATTGCTCTCTCCAACTACCTGAAAGGAGGTTGCCAGGGAGAGGATGAGGGGCAACAGGCACAAGTTGGAACAGAAGAGGTTCCGCTCAAATCTGAGGGAAAAAAACTTCTTCAGGGTGAGGGTGGCAGAGCCCTGGAAGAGGCTGCCCAGGGAGGGTGACCAGTTTTGGGCTCCCTACCATAAAAAAAGACATCGAGGTGCTGGAGCAGGTCCAGAGAAGGGCAACAAAGCTGGTGAGGGGTTTGGAGAAGAAGTCTCGTGAGGAGAGGCTGAGGGAGCTGGGGTTCTTCAGCCTGGAGGAGGCTGAGGGGAGACCTTGTTGCTCTCTCCAACTACCTGAAAGGAGGTTGCCAGGGAGAGGACGAGGGGCAACGGGCACAAGTTGGAACATGAGCTGCTCAATCTGAGGGAAAAAAACTTCTTCAGTGTGAGGGTGGCAGAGCCCTGGAAGAGGGTGTCCAGTTTTGGGCTCCCTACCATAAAAAAAAGACATTTTGGTGCTGAAGCAGGTCTAGAGAAGGGCAACAAAGCTGGTGAGGGGTCTGGAGGACAAGTCTTGTGAGGAGAGGCTGAGGGAGCTGGGGTTCTTCAGCCTGGAGAAGAGGAGGCTGAGGGGAGACCTTATTGCTCTCTACAACTACCTGAAAGGAGAATGTAACCAGGGGGGGTCGGTCTCTTCTCCCAAGGAACAGGCAACAAGATTAGAGAAATCGGCCTCAAGTTGTGCCAGGGGAGGTTCAGGTTGGATATCAGGAAAAATTTCTTCATCAAAAGGGTTATCAAACATTGGAATGGGCTGCCCAGGGAGGTGGTTGAGGCACCATCCCTGGAGATATTCAAAAGACGAATTGATGCAGTGCTCGGGAATGTGGTTTAGTGTTGGTGTGTGTGTTTTCTTTGGTGGTTTTTGGGTTGTTTTTTGGGGTTTTTTTATGGTTGGACTAGATGATTTTAAAGGTCCCTTCCAACCTAGGCAGTTCTGAGTTTGGTGGGGAGGGAGAGCGAGGGGAAAAATAAAGGGGGAGTAGATGTTGAAGAGTAAGGACCTGGGGGGGGAAGGAAAAGGTGTAAGAATGGAGAGGGGAAGGAAGGAAAAGGGGGTGAGGGCAAAAGGGAGGGCTGAAGGGTGTTTGGATGGGGGATGAGGGAGGAGGAGTGTGGTAGATGAAGGATGCTGGGGGGGAGGTGAGGAGGAGAGAGGGATGAAGGTGAAATGAGGGACAAATGAGGGCCGGGGGAGGATGACATGAAGGATAAATGAGGGCTGGGGGAGGATGACATGAGGGTCCTTCTCATCAGATCTCAAACCTCCCCAGAGGTTTCCTACCAGCACAACAGCCGTGTCCCCCCAAAACCAACCCACCCCCTCAGCCACTTCATCCCTAGAAATTCAGATAGAAAATTTAAAATTGTGAGCTCTTTTCCCTTTTTTAATCCAACCTAAATCAATCCAAGACCTCCAAATTCACCCCGCAGGACGGAGGGGCAGACACAAGGTTGCTGGTATGAGCATGGCTTGTCCGACAACAGCTTCCAGGTGAATTCCTCTCTATTTTTCCTTCTTATTTCCACTTTCCACATGGGTTTTTTTCCTGTTTGCTGGGAAATGGTTTGTTTTTTTTTTATTTCCCAGTTACATCCAAGGTTATACAGTGCTTTAAACCCTTCTCTCTGCCCTTCCTCCTCCTCCTCCTCCTAATCCCACGCTGGCTGTTATTTGCATGCGAGGCGGCCGCTTGATTTTCCTGCCCCGTCAATAAAAATCAGGGCTCTGTCACCGTGATTAATGGTTGTTGCCGCTGCGGCTACAAGCGTCACAGAGGGGTCAGGCACAACAACCCCACGGTGAGGGTGAGGGG